GGCAACCATTGTAGCTCTAAATGTTATAAAAGATTTTATCATAGTTTAATTATTTCTTCAGCGGCATTTGAACTACCATGAATCGAAGCACAAAAAAGTGCTACGTTTGATATAAAATATCTAAACAAAACAATTTTACACAACATTAAATTTTTTTCTGCATATTACCAATTATAAGCACCACATCTGTAGCTAATTTCATTGCCCTAGCGCTTGTCATTAAAAACATATTTGTGCTGAAAAATGTCAATTTTAGAGTAATATTTGGAGGGATGAAAAAAACAAAGTAGTGCAAATATCAAAAAAGTGGATCGTTAGTTTCTGCTCCGACATCATCTTAACAAAACTGCTATATTGGAACCGTGCTATCTTTAATGGATCGTTCATAAAACATGAACTAGCGGAGCAAGTGAGGGTCCGCGCCTTTCGCGGACCCTCACTTGCTCGAATGACATCAATCTCACAAAACAGTATTTAAAAGGAGATGAGTAATGGCCTGCCAAAAAAGTACCTAAACTGTCACATTCAGTGGGACGGTGGCCTTAACGAGAATTTTCGCATAAGTTTTGCTTCTGCGGGTGCGTGTAAGGCCCTGAATTCCTAGTGATCATAGATCGCGAGTACCACCTTTCGGTAAGGTAAGTAGAATAATGAGGAGAAAACATTTATCGCGCCCTATACGCTAACAAATGACTGGTCTTTGAGTTGTGACGCCACATGCCTGCTGCGCTATCACTTTTCAGGTAACACGCAAAAGAAAAGTGCCTATTTGACACCAAATGGACAATATAAGGGCCTAACTTGCGCCTAATACGTTTTTACTCCAAGACGTTTGTTAGGACCAGACTACTTCTTTCTGTCTTTTCTCTGTCTCTTCTATGCTTTACTACATAATTTACAAACTCCACGACTTCAGCCAAAGGTGTCACGCATCAACAGAACAGCTAACAACCAAATTCTGCCCTTGTTTCGCAATTTCCGCCCAATGTTACCGGAGGAGAAATAAACAACCAAAAGTGAGGAAACACTCTGTCACTTGTTTGGGAATTTAGGCACAGACAGCCAAACTAGAAGGCAGCCGGAAGCATAACTTTCGCACTTCTTTGCGATTTAGGGCCAACGTATCCAGACATGGCACAAAGGTCATGCTTGACTTCATTTTGCTTTTTTGGAGCTTTTTATTTCCCTCAATTTCCTACCAAGAACCTAATTTCGGCACAAAAAAAAAAAAAAAAAATCTACTATTTGTGTCGTCACGTTATGGCCCACCCCGTGAAGTTCTTAGTCCATGCAAGTGCAACACTTTGTGATCCGGGAGCCAGTTGCGCCAACTAGCGGTTGCCTGCAGACTAAGTATGATGGACTGAGTATGACTCACCGACGACAGCCGCCTGCTGACAAAGTATGCTGAACTACGTTTGCCACCAATAGTCCCGTGCGTGTTAAATGTTCCGGGCTAAGTATGCTGGACTTAATACCGCTCGCCGTGAACAGTCACGTGCTGCCGCAGGAGTCCGTCGACAGCCAGTCGTGCTAAGACCAGCTACTGATCTCACTACCATGCTCCTTGTGGCTCTGAGTAAAGACGTCGGACAGCCGATCGCATGGTCCGGGGTTGGATTCACGCTGATCACCTTATTAAATCTCGCTGGGTGCGATAAATAGTGCTTAGTATAATTATGTACGATTCATTATGACTAAGTATTATGCCTTCTATCTACCTCTGGTGTTCTGCTTTGCTTGCTATTGGCTATGCAGGCTTTAGGTTTTCGCATGCGTTGAATTCTCTTTGTCACACTCGAGCGTGAAACTGTTTGCGTGCTGTGCTGCCTTGTAGCGGAGTTTATATTCCGGTGTTGGAACGATGCCTGAATCATTCCGCACTTTCGCGACCCCGGAGCGGAATGGGAATGGAATGGCGGCAGCGCAGGGGGAATGGAATGGTAATGGAAATAGATAATTGTTCCTTGAATAAAGTGGGATGGAATGGACACTTGTTTTTACGCGGGCTATGTCGATTTTCATCTAGGGCCTACGTGCTGATGGCGCATTTTGCTAGAGCACGGTAGTTGGCTCTTGAAGCAGCATCATTCTAAAGTCGCTTGAAGTTGATACATCTATGTACAACTAATAATAAACAATACTAATAAAACATCACAATCCGCTGGAACAAAACGGCGTCATTCAGTTCAGTATTTTTGTGTGCGCCGCCCTTCGCTTCCTAAGACCTGCACTGTCACGCAGTCGGCGCTATAAAGAATGTCGCAACTTGTAGGAAGCTCTTGTGTGGGAACTTTACATGGTACACTGGAGGTGCCTGACGGCTTGATTGTCTCACTGGCTTACGAGACTTCGAGGATAAAAATGGCGAAGGCCTATATGAAGCAACCAAAACTGAACAGTTGTAGATGGACAAGGTGTTCTTTGCACCGCGAGACGCGACAAAGTGGCAGTTGTAATCATGCGTGATTAGCATGTAGCTTTTAACCAGAGCGTCGAATCGAGCACGAACAGAAAACCGGAGCAGAACCGTTTTTCTTTTTTTTAATCTAAATTGGAACAAAAGTTTAACCAAAATCAAACGATAATGAGCCCGAACCGGAACGGAACCCTAAACTCATGTGGCGGTTACGTGTTCATTGGAAACGATTCGGCGTAATAAAATGTGAGCCGCACCTTCTTGTGGGTGCCGGCGCGAAGTCGAAAGAATATTCGCGACGGTGGCGTCAGCGGCTTAGTGTTGAGTTTGACTAAAAAAAAAAAACGGCAGGGACGACATGAAGAAAGCTTAATAATATTAAAACAAATAATTACATTTTACGCCTATGTTAAGCACGAATTGGCTTCGGCGGGTCGCCATGGATGCGTACACTTCTATACTTTGTCTCACCTTACGATGGGCCGCAAAGAACGCCACAAGCCATCGAAGGCAGTTCATAGCTCGGAGGGTGTCACCTTTCCTTCCAGTTGGGCGGAGCGACGCTGGGAGCGCGAAGTCACGAGACAAGCTTCGAACTATGGATTGGCTCGTGTACCTCGTAGCGTCGATCGCGTTACATCGTAAATTCAAACTGAGCATATCTAACTCTGCCCAGAGGTTAAAGAGCTACTGCTATTGTGTGTGCTTGTATTATCTCTCATTGTGCTGATAATTAATATTCCTCAAAAAAGGAAAAAGCAAACAAAAATATCAAAAGTGAAAAAAAAAAAAAGGTTGATGGCTGTCGGTGCGTTTGTACCGCGGTGGCGAAATCTGGAGGCGGCAAGAGGCAAAGCCGCGACGAGCGCGAAACAGTGGCGCCAGTCGCCGGGACACCGGCCGTTCGAAGACTACGCCAGAAAAAGCGGTGGAGAAACTGCATCGTAAAGTCGCCCGGCGAGAGGAGCCTAATCTCCATCGCCAACAAACTACATCGGAAGGGAACTACACTGTGACGTGTCCGGTGACGTCGGCGAACAATGGCGATTGAGTTGAAACTACATCGGTTTTTCTTTTTTCTCCCTGCAGGAAATTGTGGAGAACTGAAAAATTTGCATAATGTAAAATATTATATTCTTTCACTTAAACAGAAAGACGTTCAGAAAACGTCACAAATGTAGTAAAAGGCCTGCTCAATTCATATCGCAGGAGGGTACTTCTACACAGCGTGCACAAATATTAAGAAAGAAAAGGGATTTTTATTTTAAAATAATTAATTTAATACAGAACATCAAACAATAAAAAATAAAAAAGACATCTGGTGCGTTTGTTCAATATCCATCCCTGCCCGTTTCTATCCGGATAAGCATCATACCCACACGCGTTTTTGTATAACTACTGCACGATGCACGTGAGTTATCAGGCACCCCAGTGACACACACGCCGTAACCCACTGCGTGGCGCTGAAATGGGCGAAGGGGGACATCGCCGGCGATCTTCGGTTGCTGGGTGTTAGGTCACGGCGTCGCTCCCAATAACCAGCCAATCCAGTACGGCCTCCTTTGCTTGGTGTCCTATCACCAATCCTCTCCAGATATGAACGCCGTCGCCATCTGTCGGTGCTGGCCAAAAGTGTTTCCTAGCCAGTTTCCATAGCCCGTGATACTTTGTTGCCATCTCCCAGTGAGCACTCATGAGTGTACTGAGAAGCGATTAGCCCACGCAAGGAAAGTACAAATAATTCAGAACTTTACAAGCCGAAGAAAAACAACAACTGGAAGAGTCATCAATGCATGCCAATTTGAAGCTGCATAAAGAACACACTGCACTGCGTTACAACCAACATAGAAACTATGCCCTTTGTGACAGAACTTAGCAGAGGTGCCGAGGTATTGGCCACGTCGGCAAGGCAATACAAGGAATTGTTGCCACATGTGAAATCGTTATACACAGTGACACTATACACACACACGGCGAAGCAGTTGAGCTGGAAGGTGTGGACATGGTCAATGGGCCTCATTGAGACTTATACGCAGAAAATAAGTAAGCACTAACCAAAGGCAAGGCTACGCGCTCGAGCTGAGTCACACAGGATCGTGCGCACTTCAAAAAACATAAGACAACAATTCAGCGGAAAAATGGCTGTGTTGTCACCAGTCAAGCAAAGGAGCGCGTGTATGAAAGTACTCTAATCTAACCCTAGTCTACATCGCATTCTGTGTTAGCTCTGCATTCATAATAAAAAAAAAACTATTTCTAAAACAAAACAAAAAAAAAACTCAATAAGACAGTTTTTTTTTAAATAATAAGTTTTTTTTAAACTTTTTAAACATCTAAGAAAGTGTTCTTATACCTCGATTTTCACACTAAAAAAAGAAAAGCCTAAAAAATATCAAACATGATTTGACAGGTTCGAGAGAGAATGTTAGAGGCAGAGGAACCGCGCGATTTAATATACAATAGGCATTGTTAAATACCACAATGATTACACTCAGTACACGCTTGACGTCACAATCAGATTCCTATAAATGTGAGCATGTGCTCAACAGCAAACCAGTAGTACGCCTGACACGATATACACATGGCGGGCCAAATTTCGACTGTATTGTGCATTATTTCTGCAGCCATTTTAATTCCCGAGGTTCACTCAAGGGCCCACCAGACCAACTACGATGCTGCGGCGGTGAGTACCAACGCCTACTGTGTAAAGGTGCATTTTTACATTACAAAATACAATATGCACAAAAAATCCAGGAAACAGAGCAAACAAAACCATATTGTGTTGATGGAATGGGTGGACTTTATGCGAAAAGCGTCATGATCGAGTGTGACGAAAAAGCGTTGACGCAATGCAAAGGAAATTCAAGGAGTCATGAAACGATTTCTTTTTTTGTTACTTTCGCTAAATAATACTTGGAATCACTCCTTAACGTTAATAATTGAATTAACTGGATTGAGTTATTTTTAGGCAGTTGCAGTCGCCGAAAGATTTCGCAAAATATGAATATCGTTCATCCCCTCAACTCGGAGCCAGAACTCGTGGCCAGGTGGCATGGCACCTATTCTATGCCGCCAATGTTAACTATAGCCACGCGGTGGGGTTGGCAAAATAGAAAACGCGTGCTGAGCTCCAGGGCCGGTTTGCTCATCTTGCGGCTGCGGACGCGGCCGCGGCCAGGAGGGATTTTTACGTCACGTGACCAGCTCCATGGGGACAAGGAAGTACCTAGCGTCCCTGCCTAACGGCGGAGAGATCCGCATCGCTTCAAGCACAAAAGCCTAATTTCGCTCGCAGAAACTGATTGGAGGGACATTCAACTGGAATCTAATTGACCGCCCCTTAATACTGTAGGAGCGGCAGGTAAAGTTACGGCCAGGGAGGGCAAATAGGAGCCAAAATAAAGAAAAAAACCACACGAGATAAAAGCGGTAGCAGTATTTTTATATACCTCCGCCGGTGCCGCTCCTCGTGCCTTCTGATGTGGTCCAATAAAGAAAAAAAGAATTCTGATGTGGTCGAGAGTTTAGAGCGCCGGTACTTGTCGTCGCGGTGTGGAAGTTCCGGGTTCAAATCGCGCTAAAGACTTCTTTTTTTTTTTTGTATTTTCCGCGTGTTTTACTTTTGAACTGTGATCCTTTTTTTGGAAATCATCCACTTGCACTACTGCGCCTTACACGCTTTTACTGTTAGTCCCACCTGTTCAATCGAAACACCGGGAAGAAGAAAAAAAAGATCAACGCAAGTTAACGCGCTAATGCAATCATTTCGTAATGTTCATTAAAAGGAAACCAAGCTAACAGCATCAGTATGGCTTTCACACAAGCGGAGCCGAAACAAGCATCCTTTCCCCAGCGTTTACAATTTTATCTGTTTTCAAATAACGCTCTTGCTACGATTCCTTTCAATAACAAGAGACGCCTATTTAGGACTAATAAAAACTGCAGTTGTAGCAATTAAAAAAAAATAAAACAAGCAAAAAAAAAAAAAAGACTAGCAGCTGTGGATACATTGATTGAGCGAAATCCTACAGGCAAGGCAGCAGGTCAAACGTCTGAGAAAGTAGTAGAACTGAACTAAAAGAGATCAGACTTTTACTTGCATGGAATGAGATAAAAAGTATATTTATACTTTTTACATTTTGTTGTGGAAATCGTTTTGTAATATTAACACATTACTTGTTGAATTTTAGTTAGACTAGCAGACGATCACGACCAAATGCAAAAATGAATCAGGCATCGACCATCGCAAACCCTCTCTCTAATGCAAACACCTAAAATGACTTTGGATCAACAAATGGAATTAATTATAATTATAATATAATTAATTCCATTTCTTGATCCAAACTCATTTTAGGTGTTTGCATTAGAGAGAGGGTTTGCGATGGTCGATGCCTGATTCATTTTTGCATTTGGTCGTGATCGTCTGCTAGTCTAACTAAAATTCAACAAGTAATGTGTTAATATTACAAAACGATTGCCACAACAAAATGTAAAGAGTATAAATATACTTTTTATCTCATTCCATGCAAGTAAAGGTATGATCTCTTTTAGTTCAGTTCTACTACTTTCTCAGACGTTTGACCTGCTGCCTTGCCTGTAGGATTTCGCTCAATCAATGTATCCACAGCTGCTAGTCTTTTTTTTTTGCTTGTTTTATTTTTTTTAATTGCTACAACTGCAGTTTTTATTAGTCCTAAATAGGCGTCTGTTGTTATTGAAAGGAATCGTAGCAAGAGCGTTATTTGAAAACAGATAAAATTGTAAACGCTGGGGAAAGGATGCTTGTTTCGGCTCCGCTTGTGTGAAAGCCATACTGATGCTGTTAGCTTGGTTTCCTTTTAATGAACATTACGAAATGATTGCATTAGCGCGTTAACTTGCGCTGATCTTTTTTTTTTCTTCTTCCCGGTGTTTCGATTGAACAGGTGGGACTAACAGTAAAAGCGTGTAAGGCGCAGTGGATGATTTCCAAAAAAAAGGATCACAGTTCAAAAGTAAGACACACGCAAAATACAAAAAAAAAGAAGTCTTTAGCGCGATTTGAACCCGGAACTTTCACGCCGCGACGACAAGTACCGGCGCTCTAAACTCTCGACCACATCAGAATTTTTTTTTCTTTATTGGACCACATCAGAAGGCGCGAGGAGCGGCACCGGCGGAGGTATATAAAAATACTGCTACCGCTTTTATCTCGTGTGGTTTTTTTCTTTATTTTGGCTCCAATTTGCCCTTCCTGGCCGTAACTTTACCTGCCGCTCGTACAGTATAAAGGGGCGGTCAATTAGATTCCAGTTGAATGTCCCTCCAATCAGTTTCTGCGAGCGAAATTAGGCTTTTGTGCTTGAAGCGATGCGGATCTCTCCGCCATTAGGCAGGGACGCTAGGCACTTCCTTGTCCCCATGGAGCTGGTCACGTGACGTAAAAATCCCTCCTGGCCGCGGCCGCGTCCGCAGCCGCATGATGAGCAAACCGGCCCAGGCATTGTTAGAGTGCGGCTATTCTTGTCACTGCAGTGGTTGGACACGAGAAAATACCCGAGTGTCCCCAAGTCACTGTATGTTTCGAGCCGAAGTCAGCACTCACGCAGTTATTGTGTCCGATCCATGAGCCACGCTTGACTGTCGTCAGGCGGGTGGTTTCGATACTTTCGATTCCGCAATTGCGTCATCAAGCTATCAAAAGAGATGACTGTAAGAAATTGTCCCCTTTTATCCTCACAATTTCACAGCGACAAAAAAGCTTCTGAATCAGTGGCGGTCTGTGAGAGTACACTTGGGTCAGACTAGGACCAGTACACCTCCGTAAAGTCATAAACATTCGAACCCAATATTGTTTCATAACCCCCTTAAGGTGCAACCCCACCATGCATGACGTTTTGGTGCTTTTTTGACGGCTTGTAACTTTCGTTCTATGTTTCTTACAATTATAAAGTAAATGTAAAAATAAAGAGCTGTTTTTCAACAATACTTTTATGTCTCGATATTACGGTTATTTTTAGTTGTTAGTTACTTATTAAGCTTCTAATAGTCCACAGTTTCTAGTATTCAAAAAATTATTTCTCGAGCTATAACGTCCCATCGTTCACGATATTTTACCTGAGCGTTTGGTTGGATGTAATAGATTAAAAAAAAGTAAGCAACGAACTGTACAGACAATGTATATTTTAAAATAAAAAATAAAGTTTAAAATGGTATTATTTAAAAAAAATTGGCTTGCTCTTTTATGTTTATACAGCCTTGATGGAGATGCGCCTCAACGGGTAATCGGTCTCTTAGCTGTAGATGATAAATTTAGCCAGTGCGGTACAACCGCTAACCTGGGATTTTTAACGTGCATCACGCAGTAGTGATCACACGAACGCGTGTTGGTACGAAACGCATCCAGATCGAAACGGGCGGGGGCGGCGGGGATTATTATTTTATGGCGCTATAAAAAACGAATCACGTCAACTAATCAAAATAACGAGACATTAAATTATGAAGCCTCCTTCCATATTAAATTTTCCGGAACTTTCATATTGATAAATTACACGTTAAGAATGTTATAAGACCTCAAACTTTTCCCATTCAGTTAGGCAAATTGTAGTTTCTTAATATAAAATACAGTTGGCGACACGTGTTCAAGAACAGCTTGATGTGCATTTTCCGTCGTGTGCCACTTGGAACGCCACGTGAACGAGAGAAAAAGCGCCAGATGTCAGGGAGTCAGATGCCTGGATGCCCGCAGTGAGCGAGCCAGAGATGTGAGAACAACAAGCTTGAGACTGCGGGCGCACCACAGCTATTTTGCACGTGTTCTACTGTGCGTTGGTAACCATGCCCGACGTGATCCAAATGAAATGAGCGCCATGAAATGCATTCTGCTATTTCAGATTCCGCCACGTGTGTGAAAACATTTTAATGTTTTCATCACTTGCAAAAATCATTTTCGCAATCAAACTATGCTTGTCGGAATGGTTTGACTATATTTTGTTTCAAAGACCACCTCGGTGGCTCTGAAGTGGTAATGATATTAAAACAAAACACAAAACATTAGTCTCAGTGTCTCTGAGCCAACGCGCTGGCCCATGAATTCATATTTGTCGGGTTTAATTATCGGCCGAGGTGCCCGCAATCCGACGGAGGCCAATCTGAGATTTCGGTTGCACGTCAAATGATCTACAGTTAGTAAAAATAAACCCGCAATTCTTTTTTTTTTATTGGGGCGTGTTAAGTGATTTTTGATGGCTTCACTTGTGAAACCCTCAGATCTGAATATTTGCTTTGCTTTACCTTAGTTCGGAGCGCAGCCAACGCTACGGGCTGGTGAAGCCTCTGAAGCAGCGCCAAGAGCCCGAGGTTAAGTTGTTCGTTCTCTTTCTGTGCCCATACGGTCGGGCTAAACTAGAGGCACTAAATAAGCTACGCGTGATACACATCTTGGTGTTTAAAATGATGGTTGTCAGTTATCTGCTTAATCTGAAATCACAGGAAACGCTTTTCCGTCCTCCACAAATGCTTAAACAGTTCGCGACAAAGCAAAGCAATATTACGTGAGCTTCCTGACACCGCATTCTTGAATCATGACGATCGTCGGTTGCATTTGATGTTTCTAACCACCAAGATGGCGGGGCTCACAACAATATCGGGGGGAAAAGTGCCGATAAAATTGTATGAAATCTGTGGTGGACTAGTTCACGCTCG